GTGCCTCCAGGTGTCATCATTAAGTGACCGTGGAGACTACATTACGGCTGACGTCGTCGAGCAACTTCTCCGTATGTGTGGCTCGGAACTTAGACATTCGACGTCTAATCACCGGAAGTTCAATGGCCTCACCGAGAGAGCCATTCGAACGCTGGTGACCATGCTTTCGATGTACGTTGCTTCGAATCACAAGAACTTTAACGACATCTTACCATTCGTCCCGTATGCCTTTGACACTGCGCAACATGAGACCACCGGCTACAGCCCATTGTTTCTCCTCTATGCTCGACCCCCACGTCATACTCTGGTTACCATATTTTCCTTTTCTGACTATAACGCTACACTGCTAGCAGAAACTCCTTGCCTCACCAAAAAAGCTCACGGTCTTGCCTGTTTACGCACAATAGCCTCAAAAGACGGATCGAAAATCCGTTATGACAGCAAGCACCACCAAGTCACGTATAATCCGGGAAACCTCGTGCTGTTGTGGAAATGTTTGCGCAAGAGTGGCTTGGGTCAGAAACTGCTTGCCCACTGCACGGACCATTCGCGATTTTTAGACGCCTGAGCGCCATCGACTACCGCATCGCACGCCTCACAGCTAGTGGGAGACGCTCTCGCAAGACAGAGGTCACGCATGTGGCTCACCTGAAACCTTTCAGTCAGCGAGACGTTGCATGAAATTCGCGGTGCGCTTTGTCTGCGAGGGAAGCAATGCAACGCGGCGTATGTGCCGCACTAGAAAAAAGAGTAAGAAGTGAAGGGACACGAACGAAAAGAAAGATTCCTCTTGCATTTTGGTCCTGTACGGCTCGTCATACAAACTGTGTACCAATTAACCTCCAAACGCCTACTGAGGACGTAACTATGTGTTGTATGCATCGTCGCACCATAGATTTAAAATTTGCTGCGATGAAACTAGCTTCTGTGTCTCTAAGTGAGTACCTACAACGCGTTGCACTATGAGGCTGCCCCGTCAATACCACTGCAGTCGATGTGCCTAGCAAGGTTTCGATTTGCCCATAGCTACTCTATTTATCCGAAGACTTCCATACACCTTGCAATATTTGACTCGAGGCAAAATTGTAAACGACCATTTGGCCTGCTTGGTATCCCCTACACAGTCAAAGCGAAAGATAGAAGCGTGGGTTTTCTAGAGTGTTCTTCTAGGCAACGTTTGGGTAACTGCTGCGAGCAGGCTTTCTGGGTACCCACTCTGCATAAATAAAGTTAATACTTTTGTAGTACTGAGGCATTCACAATGCCATCTTTCAGTGATTCTTCGAAGAAGCATGGTACCAACTGAACACTTTCAAGGACTTTTGTGCAATTTTTTATGCTGTTGCTGACGGTGACGAATGAATTGTAATGGGATGTACCATTCGACGACTGACTCGTTACGCGATGCTCATTGTGTGACGTCTCCATGCTCCTTTGCTCTTCTAAAGCACTTTATTATGCACAATATTGTGATTCCTTCACCGAGATGAAACCTACCTAGAGTAAGATGTCAACAAAGTTCCAAGCAGCGTCGTCGCTCAGTGGCACAATCCTGGTCTGGTGACGCGGGCTGAAGTTTTGTAATGTCCTTAGTGTATTTTTTATATTCTTTCTCTCATTTTGTGCGATGATGGTTACCAACACCAGCTACGGTGGACAACTACGGCACACTTGACTTTCACGATCTCATAACAGCTTTCGCTGTAATAGACTTTGGCTACCATTCGCTAATGGCTAAGCATGAATTAGATGCTCACAACGTCTGGCATCCGCTGGAACAATATTTTTTTTTACTTTAGAATGAAACAACCAGGTGCAAACAATTTACTATGATGGTGAGAGTCGTTTAATGCTACAAACTCACGTCCGCACGTAACCTGGAATAGTGGTAGCTGCGAAAACTCCACCACACACTCTCCCTCACCCAATAACGCCATGAAACAGTGGAGCATACCAACAGTTGCATCGACACAACTGTGGCCTCTGGCTCTTACACGTTCTTATCAATCACCTTACTGAAGGCCACCGGCTTTCTTCGAGCACGCATTGAAATGGACAAAGTTTTCTTGATTTTCCAAAGCATGCGCAATGCATTTCTATATGGATCAACGAGAAAACGCATTGTCGCCCGATGTCACAAATCGAGCGCTCAAAAAGGGCGCGCCGCCAAATTCTCGCGACGAAGCGCCGGAGAGACGTCTCGAGGTGAACGATAAAGTAGAAGACAAGCATCCTAAGACTCCACGGGCGCGCGACTCTCTCCCCTCAGAAGCGTAGGTTCGCCGACAAACCTCCTCACATCGGCGGCCGAGCAAGCCCTGGAAGGTTCTCAATGGAAAGGGGCGTGGTGATGCATAGTTGCGTCATCTGTCGTGAACGGCCCTTGAACCGTCTCGCGCTTTCCCCAGCCTCCGCAGCGTATCGCGCCGACTAAATGATGAGAATTTTCTGGAGTCTAGCGCGGAAGGTATTTAACTGAGCAGCAGAGATGGGAGATCAGGAGAAGAAGAAAGTATGCGCCAGAGTGCGTAGGGTGTTTCGCCGTGTCGTCGGCCAAGGTTTTGTCCTCAGTGACAAAGCAGGAGAAGAAGGTAATTCGCGCCAGAGTGCGTATGGTGTTCCGCCTTGTCGGCGAAGCCTTTTGTCCTCAGTGACAAAGGAGGAGAAGAAGAGGATTTCCATCTGAGGGGTGAAGACTCGCGCTACAGGCAAGAGTGTGTGTCTACCACCAGCGAGCGAAGACGCGTGGCAACAGCTGCGCGTGGGAAGCCGACGTGTTGCAGGCGAAGAAGTTTGGTGCTTGGAGAGCGGCCAATTGAAGACGCGAGGTTTCCTGGAAGAGGAACTTCTGGTGCAGCGGAACGACAACAGCGCTGGACTTTGAGTGAGTGATTCTCGAAAGAGTATCATTCAGACTTTTGTTCCAAGGGCTTTGGACTGAATGAGTTTTAGAACTCTTTAGTCTTTAGGTGTCTTGGTTGTTCGATGCATGTGACTGCATTGTAGTGTGTGTTGTTGTTTGTGTCCGTTGCTTCGAGTGTGGCTGATTGTACTGTGTAGTACGTTGTTTGGTTGGTGACATATCGTATTCAACTATTGTCGAGTGTGCATAATTTTGTATCGATTTGATCTGCCCTAATTGAGGATATAATTTTCTTTGTTTATCAACTCTCGGCTCTGATTTGTTCTTTGGGCCACAGCCGGCGTCCGCTGGCGCGCCAAATAGGACCACATCTAAATTGTCCACGCTTTCGTGGTGAAGTTCGGGGGGCCAATATTTCGGTCCTCGGAATTAGCCCGGCGATCGCCTCCCTAAATAACGGGACTTGTGACACCTGACTTACTATCAAAGAAGTTCTGCGCAGACAGCTACATTATGAACAAACTCATTATCAATAAATTTTAGGTTGTACAATTGTTAAAATTGAAGTAAGTGCTGGTACGGGAAGGAAGACGACGCACAGATAAATGTATGCTTTCCTTCTTATTTATTAGCATGACAATGCCTCCCTAAGGTAATTGGAGTAACCTTTTCATTCGTTCTGTTTCGATGAACCGCATACAATATGACATCAATTTTTACTGGCGACTCGCTACACACCCCTGAATGCCACATGCCTGCCATCAGAAAATATGGAGCTCTTTGAAACATATATAACATTCGGTGGGGTATTCTTGGCATCCTACTTGGGATATCCTTGGCATCCTAATTGGGATATTCTTGGTGGTGAGAGGAATCGGACAGATAGGAGTACCCACCAGAACATATGAATTACTCATATCTGACTTTTACGGATTTACCTTTGCCAAGTTCTACGAAAGTAAAATCTTCTCATCTCAGTTTCAAGTAACTTGCTTCAACACGAGACGCATGCCTCGCTCAACAAACTCGTGACTAGGAGAAGCCACAGACGATCGCACAGCGAAATAAGCCCTTGTCGCTTTCACGAAACACCAATAGGCATGTGCGAGGGACGTAGGTTCAGTCTTAACAAACAGGAAGAAAGCTGTCGTGGAAAGAGAGGTCCTAGCTGTTTATCTTCACTGGCAGTTGAGACAGAACCTGTACTCTTGGGCATCACCCGAGTTTGTGCAATAAACGTCGCTAACATATTCCTGTAGTGGGACTTATAAGGTGGCTAATCCGTTCGCCATCGACCCCAGTATTGTGAAAGTGAATGGTAGGGGCTATCGAGACAGGTGAGTGTATGTTTATCTGTGACATCAAAATTCAAGGTGGTTTCATTAGCATACGCTTCTCGCTGTCAGCCCATTTGTTTTTGGCTCTCATGAATTTTGCCCATAGCGCTGCCCCCCCCCCCCGCCACCTGATTTCCCTACTTTAATTTTTCTGTAAAGGGCGGTGCTTTTTTTTTCGACTTACCCACGTCCCAGGTTTCACACATGGTGCATTTTTGCTTCCATGTACAGACAAAATCACACTTCCCTGGGTTGGTGGAAGGCAGGCCGATAGACGCTGTTGTTGCCCGCACGTTAGCTGCAACCTTGGGTTCTTAAAATACAACACAAAAGCTGGCATGCAGTATTCCTAGGCTTGGTAGCAGGACGGCATTCAATTTGCATATTTTTGCGGAAAACAGCAGATTAAGAAGCCGGCTGGGCGCTCTACACAAGTTTGATTCAATCCTTACTATAAAAAAAGAACGGATAAGCCATGAGCCGACAAAAAAGTACAAATTGTTATATTTCATTCAATCTATAGCTGAGAGATATCAAAGTCCTTGCCGTTTTTATACTTATTTTCAACCAGCTAAGAGTGGGTGTAAACAGACTACAAAGCTCTTAATTTTGCATGTACACCACCTCGACTGTCCACACGAACCACTAATAAATACTCACCATACTGCTCATAGCTTCGCGTTTTTGTATTTTTTTGCGATTGGGTGCACACATACTTCTTTCTGTTGTATAAATTTGCAAACTTTTCCATATAGAGTAAACGACTTTTTGTTTTTTCTTTTTCTTTGTTTTTTCCGCAGGTCATTGCTGTGTGCACGATTGAGTACTTCATTCCCATTAAAACATCGACACCGAATATTACTTCTTTTGAATGCAAGAAACCATCCTTCGAGGAATAAATTGACATTGGTCTGAACAACTATTCCTCGCCCAGAACTGCGGCGCTGTGCAATACGTGTACTGCATACTGTTCCAGCATTCACTTACGTGAGTGAGTTGGAGATAGAAGTAAACGCTTACAGCTAAACACTCTTCCCAGCAATGCCCGATATCACCCGGCAGCAAGCGGGCTCTGAAGAACAGCTATCTTCTGGCTTCGGCTTCCCTCTTTACCCGGGAGACAATTCCTCTGGTTAACCTGACTCTGGTCTTCCAGGTCTTCCAGTGTTATTGAACAGTATAAACAAGACAACAGATAGAATATTATGGCGCCGAAGTTTCGGTAAGAATATTCGTAAAAGAATACTATGGTGAGCCGTAAAGTCCATTACAGTACAGCAGTCACTGCTTCCTGTTGTGCAACGCCAGGTGTTATTCAGAACTGCGCTTATCTTTAATGAAAAGTACACGTCTTTTGCGTCTACTGATTGTATCACCAGTGTTGCACAGCTATAGTAACACGCAATGCCGGCGAGTTAGTCGTGCCATCGGGCACAGTGGCAGTGAAGCGACCATCGACCATGAAGGGAGCCTAACAATTACGGGGTAATGTTGACACCTGCTCGAGGGCAAATGATATTGACGGCATTATTGCTATATACTGATGAAGACAGTGATATCATAACGAGTTTGAGAGAATGGCGTGCACAGGTTGTAATTGCACCAACTGAATGACCACAGTCGTACAGTAGCGATGAGATAATTTGGAAGCAATAACAAGATTTTTGTGAAGAAGAGAGTAGATAACTCAATGGGTAGGGTATAGTGATTGCGAAGATATCCCCACAATGGTTGAACGCAAGTTTTGGAAGGCAACACATGGAAGAACTACGACCGTCGTTTTGCGCGTACACAAACTGCCTATTAGGATGAGTATCTTCAGTTGTGAAGTTGAGTTGAGGTTTGCAGGAACCTTACTTGATTCTTAAACAAATTTGAGCCATTACGAACGTCTGCAGCAGAGTTTCTTCCGAGTTCACTTGAGACGAGTACCCTCGCTGCATCGCGCCTCCTGTTCAAAGAGAGGGACAATACAGGTAGGTGTAAATAACACCTGGTATTAATCATTATAGCTGTGTTGGTTCTGGGGCACCCTAACTCAGAATGTGTACATAATACATATACGAATAAATGGGGCTACTGCTCTTGGGGACGTGGAATGTGCGTCTCATCACTGTGGTACTTGGGCTTAAGCCTGCGTACCTGGCCACCTCGGTTGGAACGTGGGCACTACATGGTGCCAGAAGCAGGGTCCCTGGTTCCCAAGTTTCAACAACATTCCCATTCCCGCCGGTACGAAAACCGCTCCTCCTGGTATCACCTACATGGTCACCGTTTTAGGGGCGAAGCTTTTTATAGCGGTACTCCGCTCGTCCCTCGTAGCTGTTTTAATGTGTAACAAGTATAACATTTTGACATCCAAGGTGGTGCCGGTGAGAAATTTCTTCTGTGCGTGTTGTACAATAAAATATAGTGCTCAATATACATGCCAATGGCCACTAAGGGGGAATGAAAGACAGGAGCATGTGGCTTTTAGTTAACGCGCATGCTGCAATCACCATTAGCAGCCATTGGCATGTACATTGAGCACTATCTGACAACAAAGGTTTGCTATGTTATACTCGCTGGGTGTAACCTCCTTAGTTTTAGAAAGGTTAAGCGAGCGTTGAGCCGAAGTGCCATGAATACAATGAACTAGTATATGCCATGAACTCGAGCTGGTAAAGGTGGGAAAAAGACACGAAGTGCAAGCCGGAAGAAGTGTGTGTGTGCCACCTCTAGTTTAGTCTTAGGAATGTCCGCTGGATGGCGGTGCTTCTATATGGAGAATATATGATGAAAAAATGCGAGATGGCGGTGCTTGGAGTGTTGAACAGATGGCGAACGGACACACAGACAGATGCATGGATGGACGCATGAACGGATGCAGGCGGGGATGCATGGACGAACGCAGGGACGGACGCACGAACAGACGCACGCACGGACGGGTGGATGGATGCATGGGCGGTCACACAGGTGGACGCATGGACCGATGATTGATTGATTTGTGGGGTTTAACGTCCCAAAACCACGATATGATTATGAGAGACGCCGTAGTGGAGGGCTCCGGAAATTTTGACCACCTGGGGTTCTTTAACGTGCACCCAAATCTGAGCACACGGGCCTACAACATTTCCGCCTCCATCGGAAATGCAGCCGCCGCAGCCGGGATTCGAACCCGCGCCCTGCGACGCATAGACCGATGGAAGCAACGAATGGACGGACGAATGCTTCGCCCCACACTTCATCATTCACTCCGTGGATATGCTGCCACTTATTTTTTGTGGCCTCACTTTCGCCCTTTTCAGTCTCTGAAGCCCACCTCCTGTTTTCTTCGTTGATGCAGGCGAATGGCTTCCCTGACAACAGCTATTCGAGACTGCGGCTTCACTGTCAGCATGCACGAAAGGCTGAACAAGACGCGGGTTAAGACGCTGCTCAAGTGCATTTGTTTTTATGCACGCGTCATCCTCAGTTCGCTCATAAGTGACGAAGACGCGTACAAGTTCTACGTGGAAGTTACACGGCAGATCACAAGCTAATTAGTTTTCCCAGTGAACTAAGTGCACGAAAGCTCTCGTTTCCGCAAGCAGACGCAACAGCCCTGCGAAAGAGTCGACAGTTAATTCGTGGCCCTGCGAAACATGGTACGCAAGGGCAATTATCCGTCACTTGCTGCCGAAGAGGCAGGCAGGCAGACAAAGAACTTGATTAGTATCCAGAGGCGTCGCTCAACCCCCCTTATGGGGGGACACCGGTACGCCACTCCTACGACGGGACGGGGAGGGTAAACTCCACGGCAATGTCGCGGCCCCTCTTGATGCCCTCAAGCTGTTCTCCTTTGTCATGGTTTGTGCGGAAACAGTACCTGTCCGCCTCCGTAGATGGAGACTCGCTGCTCTAGCGCAACGCAGAGCATTGCCACACCATGTGTTGAAGAGAATATTTGGGGTCACCACAACGCGGGCACCCCATATCTATGCCATTCATGTATTTAGAGCAATTTAGAGGCAATGCATACACTTCCGTCTGTAAGAGTCGTAGAGTGATGGACATAGGTTTTGTTAAGTGTGGGTTTGGTAGTGGGTATCTTCATCTCTCCAACTGATAGTGTTTTCAAATTATCAGAAAAGGAATGAACGGGTGTCTGAAGCAACAAGTAACGTCCTCAGCCTTCGAGTGGTTCTCCCCGTCGTGGAATGTGAGACGTCACGACTGAGAGTGAGCCAACTCGTTGGCATCAGAGATGATTCCGTGTGCGTGTCGTCAAACGTGTGCCGGGAACCAGATTGTGTGCTTTTTGTCTGACCGATTGGCAGAAGAGAGAACGCGCGCGGCTTCCCGACAAACAAAGCCCGTCATGAAGGTCCATGTAGCTGCGTGCGAATCTGTATAAATTACGGTGCGATTGGTGGCAGTGAGAGCTAGTACAACAGCAACCTGCTCGGCGCGATAACCGTAATAATTTATTAAAGTCATATACGACAAGTGTTTGCCTTTGAGTGTTGTGACTACTGAGACAAAGTGGTTAGTAGAGCCGTACGGCGCTGCGTTTACAAAGGCCACGTTATCCTTCATAGCAGCTGGGGTACTGAGTAGGGCTCGCGCCCGTGCCTTACGTCTCCCCATGTTATGTGTGGAATACATGTTGCGGCGTATCGTGGATTGCGTAAATTTTGCGCGCAGGTCTTCGGGCAGTAGCCAAGGACATTCTTGGGATACGGGATATTTGAGCCCGAGGGGTCGTAGTAAACTTCGCCTTGCTGCAGTGGAAGACAGCCTTACAATTCGAGATACTTTTTGAGCTTCTGTTTAGAAAAAGTTTATTCTATCATGGGACGCAACAAACCTAAGGAACGAGCGTCTGTACGACAGGCACAATAACAAACAAAAGACAAAGTACAACATACTATACACATTTAAAAAAAAGTGTCCAAGTCCATAGGATGTTCATTGTTCATGGTACTAATAAATACATGCACTACATACATACACTAATCACAATATGGACAATGTGCACGATGATATATGTACAGAATTTACAAGCCTGGGTGAAGAAGTTAGAGAATAAGTACAACAGGTACGAATATTCATAACAGTTACATAACACACAGCGTTAGAATGAAGTGCATATATAGAAGAGCTCACACCCCTATGGGACATACACAAACACATAGAAGTAATAAACACATAATGATTACATGCACTAATCAGACATTGACAGGTGACCTGGCTATAGGAACCAGGCCAGGTGGAAGACTAATCGAACGCGTCTGTCAACTACGGACAGAAAACGGCACGACCATTGTCGCAGAAATTCTTCCTCCCAAAGGAAGAACAATTCTCTGACAGAAACGATAAGAGTTCAGAGTAGAGGTGTTCCAGAATCGGAAAGAGAGCACGACGACGATGACTTGCCGCAACAGCTTCGCATCCATTACGCCACAAACAAAAAGCTCCCAGAGCTATTAGAAGGCGTGCAAAGCAACTACGCGAGCAGCGACCAGATGTTACAAAACGATTAACACCAAAGCCACGAAAACTAGTGTTAACTGACTTCCAAAACACCTTTGCAATGACACATTGCTGCAGCATATGCTGGTTAGACTCCTGTAACGGGCAGTTGAACAAGCGAAAGATGAGACCATGCCCCACTTCTCCAGTCTGTCCCGTATTTGGAGTACTCTCCCTCCAAGACGCCGCATAATATCACGGAGGTGACCAGGCAAAAACGACGCCATTATCGCGCTCCACGAGAAATGTCTCGATCGTGCTATACAGGCAGGAGGAACCAGAGGAAGCAAAAGAGCCACCGTAGTAACTACAATGCGGCTTTCGAGAATGTCCACATCGGGACAAACCTGCTGCGCATGTCGATAAAATGCTACTGCCGTTGAGTAAAATGCAGGCACGTTAAGTGTTTGCAGGGTAGAATTAAGCCAT